ACCAAACCTCAGGTGCAAGGCAAAGCTGTACAGAAAACAGGAGGAGAGAGAACATACTCTCTAGAGCACTGCATCCATACCAGGTTGGGTACTAAGAGCAGCACAAGGAGGTGTGACATCCTCGAGTCCCCAGGGAGAACAATGGGGTGGACAGGTATGTTCACATCAATCCAGGAAAGACTTCTGGTGGGGACAAACAAGGAGGTGAAACACTTTTGCTGTCCCCTCCTTACTAGCAGGCAGTAAAAACTCCCTGGCTTTGAGCTGGGAAGCAAACCCAGCTGAAAATCCTAGTGAGTGTTCCTACAGCTTTGCCACTTGGAAGCGTTCGGTACACAGATGGTAATTGCCTCCTGAAATATTACTGAAGATCTCTGTGCTGTCAGATGGCTTTTTCTGTGAGCTACACGAGATGTCGCAGCTCAGAGCATCCTTTTGTACCTCCTGATCATGCAGTGAATCCTTATCCAGTGTCCCCAGGCAATCGGTGAGGCCAGCAGCTTTCCTGGAGGGGCACAGAGAGGTGATGGTGTTGGTGTGATTCAGACTGATTGCTTTGCTCGGTGCCATGTTCTCTGTGTGGAGGCTGAATGCCCCTCGGGTTATTTCAGCAGTGGTAAGTTACATAAAGTGATGGCCTATGGTAAATGGAAAACCAGTTCCTCATTTCTCACTAGAGAGCAGCTCCAAGTAGAAGAAATTATTAGTGCTCAGCAGTTCACTGGGACAAACGTCCCTCTGCAGAAGTCAAAAGTCTTATACAGATAGAGTGAATTAATGCTGGATCTGCCAAGGGCATATGTATTGCATGCAGGGATAGTGTTTCTTTAATAAAAGTCCAAGCTGAATACCTGACAATATAACTGTACAGCAAGGAAATCACCATCATCATCACCGTCATTCAAGGAAACAGCGCTGTACCACAGGAGGTACCCATGATCTAAGGCAGAAGCTCTTCCCTGTGAGGGTGCTGAGGCGCTGGCACAGGGTGCCCGGAGAAGCTGTGGCTGCCCCATCCCTGGCAGTGTTCAAGGCCAGGTTGGACACAGGGGCTTGGAGCAACCTGGTCTGGTGTGAGGTGTCCCTGCCCATGGCAGGGGTTGGAACTGGATGAGCCTTAAGGTCCTTTTCCAACCTAAACCAGTCTGGGATTCTATGATTTTCATCAGTCAAGTTTTCAAAAGCTTTGTCCATGAGACAGGGTCACCAGTGCTGTGTGGAGAGGCAAAGAGAAGAAAACCCAGTGAACAACAAGATCTCCCCAATAAACTTAGAAATGCTCCCAGACTTTTCCCTTTGTTCCCCAGTTTTATTTCCTTTGCCATAGTAAGGATAATGACCATCATCATTCTTCCCTCCCTGAGACAGAAAGCTATTATTGCTACTCACCACCACTGAGCAAATACAAGGATGAATAATTTATACAATTAATGCAGTCTTTTCTCCATTTATACAGTAATTGATGGAGGATCACACTTGTCTTCTGGATTCATTCCTTAGTTAAGTCTTGCATCTTAATGATCCTATGGCTCTGTAGATGGAATGTTCATTTTAAGTAATCACTCACATTCCTTAATATGCACATTGTTTTCTAGCGGCTGCTCAAATAAATCAAGTGATGTCATTTTTATTCCCTGACTAAATAAATCTGCAGTCACTTCCAGTGCGAACATCCATAAACATGAAGGAAATGCTTATTTTTTAAATGGGCAGAGATACAAACTTTGAAAACACTCTTCTGGGTTTATTTGAATGTGGAAACCACGATTTCCCCCATACCTGCGAGCAAATGGACATCAAAGGTGTGACAGCACATCTGAAGTGGATGTATTTAAAATTCAAACAGATATTGGCTTAAGGCTTGTTTGTTTGTACGTGTTTTTCCAGTCCTTCAAGCGCAGCTGATGCACACAGTCAGAATGCTGTACAAAAGACATTATTCCCTCCAAATTCTGGCATCTCCCTTTCTGTAACGCATTCCCAGCAGATAAACAGCATCCTTTTTGTCCTGCTGATAGGCATTTAAGAGCTTCTTTAGCCAGTCCGCAGCAGTAAAGAGAAATAAAAAGGGCTTTCCTGATGCAGTGTGCCCAGACCACAAGACCTACCTTCCTAAGGTCTCTGCTGGCTTCCAGAGACAGTATCTTTTTAGTGTTGCATCATCCCTCAGTAAAATCCCTGCTCATTGTGGCCTAAAGCTCCTGGGAATGTCATAGCAGCAGCACTGCCTTGAAACCGAACATTTAGGGCTTCCTGAAAGCTGAAGGACAATTATTACCATCAACCACCATGAGAATTTCAAGGGTGATGATAAACCAGTTAGAGGCTTGCTGATCTTGAAATCATGAAGATGCTTTAAAAAAACAACCCAAAACACCCCCATATAATGATCATAGAATCATGGAGCGATTTGGGTTGGAAAGGACCTTAAATCTCATCCAGTTCTACAGGTAGGGACACCTTCCACTAGACCAGGTTGCTCCAAGTCCCATCCAACCCAGCCTTGAGCACTGCCAGCCATAATAATACAACCAATATAGTATAACCCCCAAACTACACCATCAAAACCTTATTTTGGTGTGAAATGTACTGTGGATGAGGAAAGGCCTCCCTCTGCATGCTGAAAACCTCTTTCCTGGCCGATTTTCCCTGGAAAAGCATACCACATATAGCTCTGTTGTGAACACTGGGTGTTATTGATGTGGTGGGAGGCTTTGCTAACATGAAAGAGCCAGGACAGATATGAAATCGTTTTGATTTCATTGATTTACAGGTGCAGGCTTGAGGGCAGTTGGAACAGGCTCTGGCAGAAGAGCAGGACACCAGGAGGTGCCACACTGCCAGGCAGCAATGTGAAGAGTGATGATTTTAGCTCCAGTTCGTGGGTTGCCATGGTTAATGTAATCTACTGCCCAGAATGACCAGCTCAAGGGCATGCAGGCACTTTGTGTTCCAGACAGGATTTAAACAAGGGCTGCAGGTTGCTGAGCTCTGGCCCTGACTTCAGGTTCTCATTCCCCATCAGCACAGGGCTCTCTCCTGGCTTCATCCCTATCTTTCATCCTCCACAGGCTTTTGCTTTGCCACAGGTATTACTCACCCGCCCAGCCTTTGTTTTCCCTCCTATTGCTAACACACTCAAATATCCGCTTGATAAAGCATTTCTCCTCTGATTCCACCTCCTCCAACTGTTGCTCATTGCTCACCGTCTTCCCAAGGGTATCCAGTTGAACTGAGGTGCCTCCTGGGATTAACCATGGGAGATATGCAGGACAACCTTACAAAGCATCATCTCCTTTGCAAGCCTGATTGTCCTGTTATTTGTCCATTTATTTGCATTTTTGGCTCATTATTATCGTTTTGCTCTAGTTGTAAGTGCCAAAGCTCTATCAAGAAAGGTTTGATGCTTGTTGAAATAGATAAACTAAAAGAGGTTTCTGTGATAATATTCAGCTGTCAATTGTTTTAACAGCCCATTCGGTGGCTGAGACAGACCAGGAGTGACCTCCCTGGTAACTTAGGTAGGCTGAGACCAAGGCAGAGCCTCCAACCAGTTGGAGGCAAAGACAGGGCTGAGTCCCAACCCTGCAGATACCAAGCTATGCCTACTCCTAGGCTGAGCTACCCTGCACATGACAAGAGCCATAGCAGCAAGTTTGGGAGGAAGTTTGAAGACAAAGTGTGGTGACATAAAGTATTCTCCAAGTATTGAGACTAAAAATAAAAGTTATAAACATTATAAAAGTCATTATAAGGGAATTATTTGATAGGAAAAATACACTTGAAATACCAGAGATATGTTCTGTCCATGTATAAAATGAGAAGAAGGCAAGCAGCTTTTCACAAACAGATACCAGTGATTTGTCCCTGCCCATGGCAGAGGGCTTGGAGTTACTTTATCTTTAGGGTCATCTATAAATCATAGGGTCATAGACTCATAGAATGGTTTGGGTTGGAAGGGACCTTTAAAGCTCATCCAGTCCAACCCCCTGCAATGAGCAGGGACATCTTCAACCAGATCAGGTTGCCCAGAACCACATCCAGCCTGGCCTGGGATGTCTCCAGGGATGGTTCATCCACCGCCTCTATGGGCAACCTGTGCCAGTGTTTTACCACCCTCATTGTACAGAATTCCTTCCTCACATCCAGCCTAAATCTCCCTCTTTTAGTTTCAAACCATCACCCCTTGTCCTGTCACAACAAGTCCTGCTAATAAGTCTATCCTTATCATTCTTATAGGTCCCTTTTAGGAACTGAAAGGCCACAATACATAGGCAATTACACAGACATCAGTCTCACTCTTTGGTAACGTACATCTGGGATTGATTTAGATGAAACTCTTCTGTTAGTTAAAAAGAAATATAAGAGGCTATTGGACACAGAGGTACCCTTTCCCCCAATGTTATTAAATAAGAAGGATGCACATTAGTAAGGAAATCCAGTTGCAAAGCTGTCAGGATACATTTTCTCATGTAGGGAAGGCATTCACATGGGGAGCTGCATGCATCAGAGCAGCAGCCAGCCAGGCTGCTCAGACTCAGAAGCAAACCACTATGGTCTTTATTTTTCTCTGAAGAGGATGCTTGTGCTGAGGGAACAATTACAGGGTTAGCAGGTCTCTAGATAATGATCCTAAAGGAAGCTTTTAGCAGAATAGATTTCCCGTTACTGTAAGGCATCTATTCCATGGCTCTAATTGTTCTGGATAGATCTAGTGCTTTCCATTAGGCATCGCTCAGATTGCTTTGATAAACAAAGCATTTGCTCACGTTGACTGTAAAGTGAGAAGGAAATTCACACCCTAATCCAATCTGAAATGTAGCCAGGAGGTGGATGTTGATTACAGTGTGAATATAGGCACCAGCACATCACTGTAAAACCAGTCACCAGATTAGGCAATAGGCAGCTTGGTACCTGCAGGGCAGGAAAGGAGTGGTACCCTCTCCCAGTACCCCTGTGAATCTCATCGCTGTTAATTATCCTTTATCTCCCTCCCTTACCCATTAGAAATGTGCTCCTCAGTGTCTTCAGGCATTCTGCTTATTTCAACCACCTAGAGGTGAGATGGGAAAACAACATGTGGGTTAGAATGAGCACAGAGCAGGAGTCGCTGTGTGTGGAAGCAGGCTGTGACTGTAACGGTTAGCCTTGCTTTGAAAAACCTCTGAGAAATGAAGGAAGGAAGAAAAGAAAAGCAGGAGACGAGGAGGAGAAATAGGGAATTGAAGGGGAAAGGGGGGAAAGGAGACAAGCAAAAGGCAAAGGAATGCTCTTGGGGTGCAGTATGAATATTAATGTGAAGAGATAATCGTCACCCCCGAGAGAATCAGGGCTCCTGTTCGCAGATCAAACCTGTTAGAAATAAAAAGGCCCTGTTCTCTGTTCAGTTCCATTGTTAAGGCAAGCAAGCAGGTGGTCTCAGTTCATTTCAGGTCTCATTGCAGTCTCCACATCAAAAAGCCACCTACACCAGTGGCCTTTTTGTTACCAGAGTAGGCACAGATGTCAGGAGCTGCAAGATCAGAGAGCCTTCATCTTGTTACAGCTCTCACTTGGTCCCCATCCCTGTAGTGCCTGAGCAGAGCGATAAACCCATCTGACAGAGGGGGAATGGAAGCGATGCTCGAGTTTGGCCAGGCAGCCAGTGTGAGAGCAGGGGTTGAATCCTCCCAGCCTGAGCCCAACCTTCAGCCATCCCTTCTTGGGAGTTATACATGAACTGGAGCCTCCTGAAGAAACTGGGGCTGGTCCTTCCCGTAGTGCAGCAAGGCACAAGGAAAAGGCTCTTGAATGTGGCTTTTCTAATGGAGTTTTACCTAGGGGGAGTAGTGGTGGTTTGGGGTATCTGGATTAATACAAATATTATGAAGTTCAGATTAAGACAACTGCCTTTGTTTTCCTTAAAATGATAATGTTTAAAACCAGTGTCAATAAGATGCTATGGATCTATTGGTTTGACTGCAAGCCAGATTCAACTCTCTGTTGGTATAAATGAAGATAAGCCCAATTGCTGTCTGTAGGGTCGCTGTGAACTCCCTCTCAGGCATCAGAGAACAAAATCCACTCCTGTTTCTGCTTCAGAATAAAGCCAAAAGGAGCATGCTTCTGAAAACATGCAATTTCCCCTGAAATCTTATAGCCAGCTACTCCAGATTTGAGCTCGAGATGACCGAAAGCCATGTTTCTGTAAGAGACTTGGATGAACAAACCAGCAATAAGATTACATGCTTTTTCTGCAGGGAAATGTTGTCTTGCCTTGGTAGTGCTCTGAGCCAGGCAGAAACAACACAGCCAGGTTAAGGCAGTGTTAGATCTGCAATAGCTACAGCCCCTCATAGGACAGCGCTTCTGCATTGGACTCAGCTCCGTGCTGATTGCACCTCTCCATCTTCCACCTTAGAGCTGACCCTCAGAGCATGGGCTAACTTCAGACATGTGAGGATGCAAAAGCCCATGGAGATACATTCCTGGACAAAAGCACAGGGAAGAAAAGCAGAAGAAGCAGAGAAAGTTACTGCACAGCAGAGAGTAAGATGTGTACAGCAGTCTATGCCTTTCCCTTTCAGGCTGTTACCAACACCAAAGCATGACTCCGCCAGGACACTGAATACAAACCAGGAGACTGATACCTTCCCCTAGCTTCACATGGATCAGGATACAGCCACAGAGCAAGACAGTAGAGACTTAGGGGTTCATTTTTCCCCGTAGGGTTGTTCTGGTCTGAGACTGTTGTGGTTTAACCCCAGCTGGTAACAAAGTACCAGCAGTCCTACACATATAATATATATATATTAGTATAATATAATATGCACATATATTAGTATAATACACATGTATATTAGTATAATATGTACATGTATTAGTATAATATAATTGTGATAAGGTAATCAATATAGCAAGGTACATAACAGAGAGAGAGATAAACTGGCAGAACATGAGACACTGCAAAGTCCTTGATCAAGGTAAGCTCTACTGAGCACCAACTAAACCCTTGGTGTGTTTTCAGCTTCCTTCTCAGACTGAAGCCCAAACCCAGCACTGCACCATCTTCTAGGAACAAAATTAACCCCATCCCAGCTGAAACCATGGTAGAGATACCACAAAACAAGATGTACTGGAGCTTAACAAAGCCCCACTGACCAACACCAGTCAGATTCAGCAAGCCGTGAGTCAGGACTCCTCAAAAGACAAGGCCAGTTTGCAGCACATCTCCCTGTTCTTAGGGGTGGCAGCTTCAGCTCTAAAACAGACGCTCAGTATGGTTATTCTGCTGGTAACATATTGCAGGCATGAAGGGTGCTTGGCTAACATGAAGCAGGTCTTGGCCATGAAGACATTTATAGTCCAAGACTTTGATGGTGCAAGGAAGAAATGGGCACATTTCTGGCCTAAACAGATGTCACGGCAAGGTGGAAAAGAGCAAGGGAGGCTAACAGAGTCTAAGTGAGATTCTTCAGCACTTGGGAGAGGACATTCTGGTTTTATCACTCTCCATTCAAATATTCCTCTTTTCCCCTGTTTAGTCCACCCCAAAAGATCATTTCAGCCCTTATGGCTGTGGATCTGCATCCCGTCCTCTCAAGCAGCAGCAGCAGCAGCTAGCAAGGCTTGGCTATACTTACCTCTCACATAGCATCGCCTTGTGTGGCTGTGGATGCTGATGCTCAGAAAAGCAAGAGAAAGGAGGACTAGGAGCAGCTATCAGATTTTCTTCTTTCCTCTAGCTATGCTGTTTGGTATCATGGCTGGCTTGAGGATTACAGCAAGAAAAGCAACAGATCTGGGGGAAGAAAATGTTATAGGAGGATTAGACTGCAAAGTCCATCCAAATGGGTTATGAGCTATATACACATACAGGCACAAGCACACACACATATATATGATATAAAACTCCCAAGCAGTCAAAAATGAGTAATAAAAGACTACTGAAAATCAGCAGAAAGGCATTTCTGAGAGCAGAAAGGCAAATGTAGGATATGCTCAGTTATTAGCAATACATGGAGATTCTTTGCAGCGTATTTCTTTACAAATCCCAAACATAAATCTGTACCTGGAATGGGGACAAATGGACATATTGATTATTCTCTTTGTCAGCTTCATTTCCCAAATATTTAAAAGACAAAGGACTTGATCCCAGTGTTGGCTTAGTAGAATGAACCTTGTCTCCTTGCTGGCTTTGGAAATCCTCTCTTTTGTGAGGAACTGAAAGATGCAGAGAAAAGCTCTTTTTCAAGAGAGTTTGGATGCACTTAATTTAAGTGCCAGTCCCTTTTTCCCATGTTTTTTGCTTTGGTTGTTCTATCACTTAACATACATTATAGCATTAAATGAACCCTGGCCAGGTAACTGTTGCTTATTTACAAAGAGGCACAGTTCTGGTCACCACCTGCAATGTCAAGCTTCCACGTAGTTCTCTATGCAAGCCTTTTGGGAAAAGCAGTCCTACAAGCTGTCTATGCAATACTGGAAGCCACAACACCTGTACCATATTCCTCAGAGAGCCAAGGAGCCCAAGCAGTGTCTCAGTGCTGAAGGATGCCTACCTTATCCTTGGGTTTATCCTCACAGCTTGCAGCATTGGGCATGCCATTAGATCCAGGGGAAACCTATTGATGCCTACAGCAACCCTCCATCCCACAGTGCACCAATGCTTGGGTAGCCAGCAAAACGCAAGGAACCATGACCTAAAAGCCAGCTTTCCTGGCTTAAGGTTGTGTTAGTGGAGCCAGCCTGCAGTGATGGCTCGCTTCTGGGCTTCTCAGAAGCAACCACGGCTGCACAATAGCATTGTCTGGTTCCTAAATCCCAGCAGTTATTAAAGCTTCTCTACCTGGAGGTCGTTGCTAGGCAAGAGGTACCCTGCAAGTGCTCCATCACTGAGGTCAATTAAATGCTATCCTCAAGCAAACTGCTTTGAACTGAAGCCTGTGTGAAAACAAAGAGACAAGATCCTTGTTCTCTTCATTAAAGAATGACTCGAGATGTTGATAGAGATGAGACTGAGTCACAGCTTTTAATTTCCTCAAAGTAAAAAGCAGGTTTGGACAATGATTGTTAGGACTAAGCAAGGACATTTAATTCTTAAAGAGAAAGAAAATGCTTCCAATGTAATGTACACTATTTTGCATAGTAATGCAGAAAGGTCTGCCCACCCCCTCATTCTTTTCATCACTTTTCCATCTGATTTGGGTGTCGATGTTGAATGTCACCGCTGTTCCTGCCCATGTAAATGGGAGGGTCCCTAGTTGTAGCAACAGAACGAGGCACATTGCTGTTCAGATTTGGATTGACTTCAAGAGGAGGAAGATAGGAGGGTTGCTAAGGCTCAAAAGAGACAGTGAAGCAGAGAAAGCAAAAAACTGGAAGGAAAAGACCGTGGGTAGGCTTAAAGGTACAGATGTTTTCTCACTGATAGTAAATGTGCCAGGGGCTGAATTCATTTGAAAAGGTCATTGGAGAAAAGTCACATCAAGCACATTTTGATAATAGAAATCCAAAGTTTTGTGCATGTTCTTTCATCTTGGGTTTCTGTTGGCTCCGTCAACCAGCTTCTGGGCAAGCAGCACTGTAAAGGACCCTGGCCCCCTTCTGCATGCAGCTCTGCACATCTCCATCAGGCAGATACAGGGGGGGAAGAGACTTGCAGTGGCCAAAAGACATCAATAACCTGGGGACCTGCTTACCCTGGGATTGGGGAAACACACAGGGCTCAGCTAAACCAGCTGCAAGTGGGGCTGTGGTAGAGGTTTCCCTCATTTCAAGGCCCTGCATTCCCTTTAGCCAAGCAGACCCAATTGTATTTAAAAAAACCCTAACATTATTCCTTATTTCTGGGACATTCCAAATCCAGGATATCAATGCAACAGATTTTCCTGCCTCCTTCAATCCTAGGGGTACCTAAAATAATTGTTGTAGCCAATAGCATTTTGTGTCACTGAGACAGAGTTTGGAGCCACTGTTATGTATCTTATTCACGTTTCATATTGAATTTATTGAACAATTTGGGCAGAAACAGGTATTTAGAAAATGAAGGATCATTTTACTTTGGTTTTT